TACGTAATTATATTGTCCTATTTATCATCAGGTTGAGAGAGCTAAGAAAATTAGATTTATTATAGTTTCGGGTTGTTTAGGTGCTATTTAGATTTAGTTTTATTTTCACATTGTCGTCGTTCATTTTTGTGTGTATTTTCTTGTGTACTTATATCTTTTCTTCTCCATGCGCCTCGAACACATTATTCATGTGGAGTTGGCGCAGTACAAATACTCTGTATTTATTTATTTATTTTATTTTGCCTTAAAGGTACTATGTCCCTTTTGCAGCCAACCTCAAATTCTGTAGAACTGTGCAGGAATTATGAATATGTCATGTATGTCCTATCTGTGAAATTTAAACGTTAGCAGTGTCCTCATATTCAAATTATGCAAGGAAACCCGTTTACTTGCTAGACTTCACCGTCAGACACTAATGAGTGACTGACTGGCTTTTTTCTTCTTTGGTAATAACATACATGAAAAGAGTTGTAAAGGGTACATGAGCATTTGTCTACATCAATAACCCACTTCTTGTGATGGCCAAGATTAAACTGATTGAATCTTTGCGCAGCATAAAACGTATGACCATTCAGTACAATTGTCTGAAAATCGAGACTATTACTTTGGCGCTCTATAGCCCTAAAGTCGGTTTGACAATTAATAGTCGTTATTTTTCCACTAGAAGACATTTTCAAGCCCCACCTTTTTTAGGGAAGTTCTAAATTAGTATTATCTTTCAAATGCAGTTGGAATTTTAGTTAAACTACAAGACAAAGTGCTGAAGGGTTCCACCCCGCGGCCTAGCTCCGGATCCCGGGTTATAAAATTGCAATTAGGGCACGGGGAGCCGCCACCCTATTCTGACAGTTTCGTGATATTTAAACAGCATAGCCTCTTATTTATATGTTCATATTGTATTTTATACGCCCTGATATAATAACAAAAATCATTCAATTAAAAGAAATATTTATTTTCTCCCATTCCAACTTTCATTGGTTTTCATAACAACAAAATACTCAAGTGAAAAAAGGCGCATACATAATGACAAAAGCAATTTAAGAGCATGTTTAGGTTTAATGTAGTTTTGATTCATTTATTATTTATCATTTTCCTCACGTCTTTCACTTACGTCTTTCCCTTACAGAATATAACGCGCACACAGTGTGATATATAGTAGATGTATATAGCAAACAGTCTCTTTTTTTTAAATTGTATCATTATACACAAATCTTATTCATAGGATTTGGAAACACATAGTGTATTTTTCAATGAACTTTATTTCAGGCTTTACATAACGAGAGCCAGACTCGACTAGCACATGAGTTATTTTTTTACTCTATTTTACCATCGATCACAAACTCATTGTAAATAGTCATTTATTGTTTTACTCTTGACACTAAAATTACTTATAACTGTTTTTTAATATTTGTATAATGTACATCTATATCGCTGTAGAACATGTATTATTCATGTCATGTATTTATGTTATATTGGCATTGTACATATATACTGTTTCAATGTCGGTGAATAAATAAATTCAATTCAATTCAACCTAATTCAATTCAATTCAACTTAATTCAAATCAATATTCCGTTATAATCTTGTAAAAACAAGTCATGGTTTTCATTAAGTAAGTTAAGTTATTTTGAATATGAAATACATCAATATGATTAGAAGTTTTCAAACGCGACGAACGTTACTCCCGGTTTCACAGTCAAATACATGAATGTCTTGTGGTCTGGTTTCAAAGATCCGTTTTGTTTAGACCTATTTTTACAGCCTGTCATTTGATTGATTGATTGATTTGTTTTATTGTCCACATTGAGTGGAAATTCTTCTTTCACATGGTTACAACTATATACAGTATATAGAGCATGGGTCAATTTAACACATTTTAAGTTACACATTGCTCATTATAAACTCAGCACTACATTTTTTAGAACAATAAATCATACTCTTACATTTAAACTATATGATCATATGGACTCGTTGACAACTGAATAATTAATTTAAATATTCATGTATGAATAATATTAATCAATTTAAATGTTAAAGTATACTTAGTACCAAAATACATTAACGATATCGCCCCCCCCCCCCATTACCTTCAGGAAACCTCTCATCTTATTACTTTACTATTGAACATGTAGATGGAATCGGGGACAAACGAGTTTCTAAAGCGGGCCCGCTTAGTACGGGGGACACAAAGACGAACACCAGATCTGTTGAAACTAAAGTAACTGAACAAAGGATGGGTTGGATCTTTCATGATTCCCATGATCTTAGCTAGTGAACCTTCACCATACAACTTTTCCATGTTGGGCAGTGCTATGCCAATGATTCTCTGAGCTATTTTCCGTGGTCTATCTAGGGCTTTCTTACTGTTACATGTGAGGTTGCCATGAAAACAAATTAAATTAAACAAGAGAATGGACTGGATAATCGACTTATAAAACAACACGAGAAGAGTGTTATCTAAGTGCATTTTCTTGAGTTGTCTCAAGAAAAATAACCTCTGATTAGCTTTCTTTTGTGTGGCATGTACATTGCTTGACCAATCCAGTCTGTTTGTTATGGTAGTACCCAAGTATTTATATTCCTTGGCTTGTTCTATTACATCATCATGTATGGTGAGAGGTACATGTTCATCCTGTACATTCTTACGGAAGTCTACGATCATTTCCTTAGTTTTTGATTCATTGAGCTGCAAGAAATGTGAGTCACACCATTTCACAAAAGAATCAAGCACCGCGAAATAACAGTTGGCATCACCGGAGAGGTATCCTGTGATGACTGTGTCATCGGCGTACTTGATGATAGTACAATCGGCATCCGTACTAGCACAGTCACTAGTGTACAGTGAAAATAGCACTGGGGATAATACACACCCCTGATGAGGCGCTCCGGTACTAACTACCCGATCGTCAGAAACGATGTGGCCCACTTTTACACGCTGGGGCCTATTCAACATAAAATCATGAATCAACGTGATAACCCGTGGGTGTACATTCATTTGTATTAACTTCCTTGAAAGCATGTGGGGAATGATGGTATTGAATGCACTGGAAAAGTCTATAAAAGCTGATATAATGTACGACCTAGGAGTATCTAAGTGTGAATACACTTTATGCAAGAGAAACGAAACTGCATCTTCCACACCCCTGTTTTGTCTGTATGCAAATTGCATGGGGTCTAGGTGAGATGAAGTTTGCTTTAACAAGCATTTCAAAATGATTTTCTCAAAACATTTCATGATGCTGCATGTCAAGGCTATTGATCTAAAATCATTCATTTCAGTAGGGTTTTCCCTTTGGGCATTGGTACAATGGTAGAAGTTTTCCACAATATAGGGATAATCCCCTGTTCATGGTGTACCAAATTGATATCGTTTCATAAACACCCATCATTATCACTGATCTGAGCTCAACTCCTTTCGATTAATCACCTCTAAGATATGGACCAGACCATTCAACTGTTTCGATTTAAGGAAAAAAATGATTTTATGAACCAGATACAAACAAGGCCTCAAAAGCGTCTGGGAGTGAGCCTTATATAGTTATATACGACAATGTAAAATAAAATATTGCAATGTCACTGCGTTTCTTTGGAAATGACAGACATTTAAACTCAATTACCTCTTTTCCCGTCACTATGTTTCGGTCTTTGCAGGCGCGGATCAAAGGGGGGGGGGGCGAGCGCCCCCCCCCCCCCCCCCCCGCGGAAAAGAGAGAGAGAGAAGGGAAAGAAGGGGTAGGGAAAGAGGAGAGAAAGGGAAAGAAAGAAGAGGAAGAAAAGAGAAAAAAGGAAAGGAGATCGGGGGCGAAAGGGCCTTGCCTCCCCCATAACAAAATAAGAGAGTAGGGAGGAAAGGGAAAGAAAAAGGGAAAAGAGGAGATAAAGGGGAGGTAATAAACTGAAGAAGAAAAGAAAAGAAGGGGGGTGTTTCAGATGCAATTTTCCCGCCAACAATTTGTGGACCGGGGGGGGGGGCAAAAGGCCCTTGCCTCTAGAGAAATAGAAAGAAAGATAGAAAGAAAAGAAGAACAGTGACCTGCCAGTGCCACAAAATATGCTCATCTGACCGTGATTAAATGCCTAAAACCCCCGAGCTTCCCGGGGCTCTGCCCCATGGACCCCACCTAGGGCCCTAAGGCGGCCCCTACATGCTCATCTAACGGTAATTTAATGCATAAAACCCCCTGAACTTCTTGGGGCTCGACTTCCTGGATCCCATGCCAATTAGTGTTCTGCTCCTTTTGTACGCGCTTGCACGCCCCCTCCCCGCTACGAAATGTGATAAAATTAATTGTTAGGTTTTTTTTTTAACATTTAATTTATTTCCACTTCTCATAAAACACATCAAACAATTTACTGTACATACAATATACAGTGCGTCCCAGAAAAACGAAACCGAGAATTATCGATGTTTTATCATAACTTAATCACATTTATAATTGATAAATGACACATATTTGGAAAGCTTAGATTCCCTTCTTTCATTTGATGCAACTCATATAATACATATTTCACGCATTAGTGATTAAAATGAATTTGAAGAGAGGAAACCAAAAAGTCATTTGGCGGATGGTATCTGAGTTTCAAGGAGGAAATCACATTTTTAGAAAGTTGAGATTCTGCCCTTTCATATGACACCTCAATCAGGAAAAATGAGCAAGGAATGACAAAGTTCTGTTTGTTTGAAGTAGTGCTTGCATTTCCATAATTTTATCAAACGAGTTGACAAAAGACTTAACTCCATTTCGTTGCAGTCAGCAGTAGACGAAAGACTCCATACATGGCTGATTGTCAACGAAACAGAGTTAAGTCTGTTGTCAATTCTGCATGTTGCTATCGCAGGCACTCAGTGAAAACGAATTCGTTTAATAAACTCTTAAACTTTCTAGTACAAACTATAGACATTGTAAGAAGTAGAAATCGTTATGAAAAGTGGCATATACATCCTTTCATGATTCTGTGTCAGAAAAATCTAGTTCGATTAATCAGACAGTGATCTGAAATGCTTTGGATAATATTTATTTTTTTAATCAATGTATCAAACAGCAATACATAAAACCTCCATTACTAGGATGATTACCCCCTACTGTAATATAATATTTTAGTCCGTGATAATTACATTGTGTCTACTTCATTTATACATTTATAACAGCTACCAAAAAAGTCATATTCACATGGTATTTGTTTCATGTGTAAAGAAATCTTTTGTACAAAGTGAACAAAGAGTAATGTAAAGTCATAACTTTTCAGATTTTTCTCAAAACTAATAAAGACCATTTGCTCTAAATGGAAACACAGACAAAATGAAATATCTCCAAAAAGGGAATAAATGAATCGGGTATTTTTGACAAGACCCATGCCATTTTTCCCATGTACTTTGCCAGACGGAAAGTAATTATTAAAAACAAAATACAAGATATCACAGTCAATCATATTCAAACATAAACCCTTATTTTGTTATTTGCTTTTAGAATACTTTTACAACATATACCATACAATCAATATGTCGACTTTCAAAACTCTTAAACTTTCTAGTACAAAACAATAGAAATTGTAAGAAGTAGAAATTACTACGAAAAGTGGCATTTCCTCTCATGATTCTGTGGAAGAAAAATCCAGTTCGATTAATCGGACAGTGATCTGAAATGCTTTGGATAAAGTAAAGAATTGTTTTTTTATGTATAAAACAGTAATATACATACAAACTTCCATTTATACTAGGATGATTACCCCCTACTGTAAAATAATATTTTAGTCCGCGATAATTACATTGTGTCTACATCATGTATACATTTATAAGTTATAACAGCTACCCAAAAAGTCAGATTCACAAGTAAAGTAATCGTCAACAACAAAATCTTAAAAGATAAACACATCAGAAGTATGTTTAAAGATAGGTTATTTTTTATATTTTAGAAAGGTTCAATCATTCAAATTGATCTACATGATCTAAGAATGTCATTTATAAAAACATTCACCAAAAGTCCATTTCATCTAGCTCAAAAATAACTGATTCCACTGGATGTTATATAAATGACTTTACGAAGTCACAGAAAAACAGGCCTCTTAGAAGATACATGTAATTGTATTGTTTCTATTTTTGGTTTTGGCGATACGGGCTGTCCCGAGTAGAGTTGGTATGACAACAGTCAGATGCGACGCTGCAACCTCCTAGGGGTAAGGGTTGACTTATTTTTTTTAATAGATATTTGACAAACAAGAAAAAACCTAAAACAAGTAAAAGTAATATAATCGTACACATGCACACCCCAACTTAAACAAAAGACCCACATTCTTGTTCTCTCTAACACACACACATGCTCATAAAAGCTCCAACACATCCACTCATTTTTGAGAAACAAATGAAAAAGGGTGAGGGGATGAGTCCATTTTCAACGCAATATTATGTTATTCTATATTCTAAAATTCTATCACATCGCACCACCCCCCCCCCCCCCTCTTTTCTTCCTACGGGCTTGAATACAGTGGTGTCATACAATGCAAGAATTAGGGAGTCGTCCATTATTTTCTGTCGAATATATAGAGTTTATCTGGAGTACAGAAAGCGATCTCTCCTGATCGGTACTGCTGGAGATAGTACCACTCTCTCTCAGGCTTCTCAATCTCGTAATCGAAGACAAGGTTCTGAACATGCTTCAGCTCGTTAGTGTACTCATCAATGCTGACTGAACCTACATCGTGCTTCACCGTGGCAATCAGGATTGTATTCCCTTGAGATACAGCAGCATGTGGGTTAACACCTAATTTCTCTAAATCATATTTTACAACACCTTGTTTGTCAATCAATCGTATTGTCTTCAAGGATTTGGTGATCAGGTAATCATTATAACTAGTATTCTGCTTAGGTGTATACCCATCACATGGTATCTCCCTGATCGCCTTCCCACCTCCTGGTGCGAATGCCTGGATCTTCTGGGCTTTCTGGTAGCTAACATAGATCTGATCATCACTGTCTACAGTGAGGTTAGCATTTCCACCTTCTTCATGACTCAGAGTCTCAAACATTACATTTAACTTTGCGTAATCTCGTCTGTACAGTGAGATATTGTTTGAGCCACGAAGTATAACATACCGATCATCAGAGAGAAACCCTACTCCACGAATCACCACATGTTTAAAAACTGTCTGCTGGAGCTGGCCATCAGCAGAGAAGATCTCCACGCCACCTTTAGCACAGCCCACTGCCATCCTACCGTCAGGTGTACTAACCATGGCATTCATGCTATTCTTAGTAGGCAAGGCGATGTTCTTTGCAACTGGATTTACGATCTTACCGAGAGCTATCTCGTCCATTCCAACGTTCCTCTTGAAACTGACACTTTTTCCTTTATTGCTCGATTGCCTCGGCAGCTTGTAGTCAGGATCTTCTTGTTTCAAAGCCTCTTGCAAGTCTTGACATAGAGTGTCGTGTGCAGCCAAAGCATCCATATCTAACGGTATCTTTGTTCTAGTGGTTATCACGTCAGCTACGGTGATCAAGTGAGTGATGTGCTCCTGTGCCGATTTCTTCATTTTGTCTAGGTCTTTCTTTACTTCTTCAGTCCTACCCTTGACTTCACCAATGAGGAGTTCTTTCTTCTCTGTCAACTGCTGGACTGATTCTTCATATGCTTTGTTGATATCATATGTACACTGCTTCTGAACATTGCTCACACGCTCTTTCTGTTCATCAATGAAATCAACGTATTTCTGAAAGGAATGGCGTTTCTTGTCCGTCTTGGATTTAAGGTCCTCGATACTCTTCATATGGTTGCCTTCGTAAACAGCTGCCTCGATGACCCCATGTCCTTCCTTTGTATGCTCCATGACAACACACCTGAAGCAGGCAAATCTCCTGCAGACGGAACAGAAGCACTCCTCGTCCTCTTTGGGGTGTTTCCTGCATTTACGGTATCTACGTACTGACACCTTCCCTGATAGGATCTCACTCATTGCAAAGACCTCATGACTGATGAAATTTTTCCACTGAGAGTGTTTGTTGTGGCAAGTGATACAGAGATACATGCCACAGTCTTGACAGTAGAAAACAGCTTGGGGTTTGTCCTCGGATTCACAATTCGTGCAAAACTGATATTGATTCTTTACGTCCTCTATGAGAGACTTCAAAGCTAGATTAGCCGGTAATTTGCTGACATCTTGGTTTGGGACCTGGGTTTCAGCTCTGCAGACAGGGCATCGGAGCATCTGGTCGTTACCATGGCATTCCAAGAGGTTGTCCAGACAGGTCTTGCAGTAGGTGTGAGAACAATGCAGAATCCTGGGATCGGTGAAGGTATTCAGACATACAGGACATTCCAGACTCTGAGCAATGGCATTCTTTAATGCATCAGCCATGATTCGAATTCTACAGGAATACGAGATAAAAGAAAAGGAATACAAATCCTAATGATAATAATATTAACATTCAGTACGTTCTTGGGTATCGCGTATTACATTATATAACGTCCCTATGCGCTTCCAGATCTCTTCAATTATTACAGTGAGTTGATACTTAGAAGCATAGAACAGGAATGAGGATTGAGGGTAGGAGGATATAATATCACAAACATACGGTATGCAGATGATACTATATTAAATGCAGAATCAGAGAAGGGCCTGCAGCGACTTTTGGATGTTGTCGTTAGAGAAAGTGACAAGACATGATTATCATTAAATTACAAGAAAACGGAATACATGGTAATTTCAAAAAAGGGAGGAATACCATGCTCTCTTAAGATCAACAACAATCAAATAAAGCAAGCCACCTCTGTTAATTACCGCGGGACTACAATTACAGACGATGCAAGAGGCGAGCAAGAAATCAAGAAAAGGATTGCACTTGCAAAATCAACTTTCTCCAAGTTAGAAAACATCTTAACCCATTGCCTACTGAAACCGAGTAGCCTCTGTATTAAGCTTATGACAATGAACGAATTCAGTAGTCAACTGTTAATAGTCAGGTGGCTTAGCTTCAAATTTATCGAATATCGTTACTTGCCGGATAAAAGAACCATTTTTGGTACAGGGCTTCCTTAGGACTTACTTAACGATATTAGACTAGGAGCCCCTGGAAAAAAATAATTTAAGGGTGTGAAGAGCGGGGCGTCTTTTAGGAGCCCCAAATAATTTTATAAGATTGATTGTTGTTGTACACATGCCATTTTTGGTACAGGGCTTCCTTAGGACCTACTGAACGACATTAGGGTGGGAGCCCCCAGCAAAAATATCATATAAGGGTGTGGGTCGGGGCGTGGCCTCGTAGCCCCCAAATAATATATAACATTTACTTGTTGTTTTACAAATGCTATTTTTGGTACAGAGCTTCCTTAGGACCTATTAAACGATATAAGGGTAGAAGCCCCCGGCAAAAATATCATATATGGGTGTGGGCGGGGGCATCGCTTCGTAGCCCCCAAATAATTTAGAAGGTAAAATAACATTTATTTGTTGTTGTTACAAATGCCACTTTTGGTACAGGGCTTCCTTAGGACCTACTGAACGATATTAGGGTAGGAGCCCCCGGCAAGAATATCATATAAGGGTGTGGGACAGGAGACCACCCTTCCCGTCCAAGCAAGTCCGAGCCCGTCCATGAATTCCTTAAAAAGATCGTAAATAGTTGCTAATACGTTCACTCCGTTCACACACAGTTTGAGCCCATTTGGCAACATTTGGCAACGTAGTGAGAACTAGTTTGGTGTGATAGGTGCTTGACTTGAACGTCTTGATCTGCAAAGCCTAAAGCGTTGAAGTTAAACGGGAATGAGGAATGGCGAGAATGCTCTGGGTTTTTATAACTCCCGAGTCAGGTCGGGATTGCACATGCTCTAGGAGCGCGTTCGAACGCACTCAGAACGAGTTAAGGAAGAGTTGAACTGCCTCTGAACGGGGTGGTCGGGTTAAAAAACTAGTTAGAACAAGTGGCGAACTAGTTAGAATGGGTTTGGACGTAATGGGAACGAGGTAGAACTAGTTAGTAATGGGTTTAAACTGACTACGGACTGGCTTGGACTGCCTAATCTACCCGATCTGAACTTGATATGAACTGACTGTGGGCGGGGCACAGACGAGATGGACGTTTTGAGGACTGATTATGAAAGAACTAGGATCGTATTATAGACATTATTTACACATTCTACCCCGACCACAACCCGTTTTACGATTTTCTAGGACGGTTCCAGAACGTAGTGAGAATTAGTTTGGTGTGATGGGGGCTTTATATGGTCTGGTTTCTTAGATCTGTACTGTTTTGTGTAGTTATGTTTTTGCAGCCCGTTTCTTCGTTCTTCTTCAGACTGATATCTTTTCATAAACACCCGTCTTTCCCATCTTGGTCTTAGCCCAACCGCTCTCCATTAACCACCTCAGAGACATCTAGATCACTGAAATCTACACCATGTAGCGAAGAGAATTGTAGTACTTTGTTATTTTTATGATGTAATCACAGACACATGCACTGATGCACAGCCCAATGGAGTTAACTTTCTGTTAAAGTGAACATGCCTTCCTATACTTAATTCTCTTCTCATTTTTTTTCTTCCATTTACTATCTTTCTTTTCTATCAACGTTCTGTTATACAATAATGTAATTTTCATAATAATATCTATAATGTTCTCTCAGTAACTGTGTTAACTTATTATGGGCGTTCCCAACTAATATGCTTTTCGGGTTTTCGCCTCCTTCCGTATCTGAATTATGTACTGTATACTTTATGTTGAAATCATTGTTACATATATAATTTCATGATATTTTACTGTTAAGAAGAAAATAAATGTTAATAAATACAAAATGAATACAAATTACAAGAGTTCAATGATCTAGACGCAGGTTTATATATTTAGCTAAGAAAAAAAACGATGATTTTATAAACCAGTTACAAACAAAGCCTCAAAAGTATGCCTAATAAGTATAGTATATATATTCATTATTATATACGTCGATTTGAAAACGAAAGTATTGAAAATGTCACCACATTTCTTTTGGATATAACACAAACATTCACTCACCTCTTTTCCAGTCACTATATTGGTTTTGGTGTTAAAGGAAATCAGTAAACATGTAAACTCTTTGCCTTTACGATGTAGTGTTGCACTTATCGTAGGTATCCATAATCTATATAGTCCATACACGTACATGTATGAATTTAGTGTGGCAGTCTATTTTTAGGTACTGGGAATTCCCACCGACCTTTGAAAACAAGCAGACTGAGGTTCATAGTACAGTCATCGCCCAATGAATATTAGTTCTCATTTTGTCACGGCTTCTGTAGAGCAAATATATGCCCGTGTCAAACTTGAAATCTATTTCTTTACCACCCCCCCCCCCCCTCACCCCCACCAATACAAAACACGGCCTCTAAAGTTTGATTCAAATTAGGCCTACTAATGCCAAAGTCTCATGGAACGATTTTCCTTCCAGATTACAATTGGAAATATTTACCATGTGCATTCATATATGAACATAAAATGTAAGAATTAATGGCTAATTTGTTATTCAAATCACAATAACCAAATTTCTCCCCACGACAAACAAACACTGATAAGTTGTACGTATCGGTATGAACGATATCAATGGGATCATAATCCTTCTAACACGACAACAATTCCTTCCGGGTTCACGATCAAGGACACCGGCGAAACTCGTATGGTCTCGTTTCAAAGCTCTGTTTTGTTTAGACCTGTTTTTGCAGCCTGTTATTCCATGGTTTACCAAATTGAGATCATTTCATAAACACCCGTTATTATCATCTTGGTCTGAGCTCATTTGCCTCCATTTATCACCTCAAAGATATCTAGCCATTCTAGGCCCAAACCAAACTGTTTCAGTTTAAGGAAAATGGTTTTATAACCAAGATACCAACAAAGCCTCACAAGCGTCTGGGAGTCAGCCTAATACAATTATATACGACAATTTCAAACGAAAATTTCGCAAAATCTCATAGTATTTCTTGTGAAAATGACAGACATTTTAACTCACCTCTTTTTCCGTAACTACGTATCGGTCTTGGTGTTATATGAAATCAGTGAACATGTATACTCTCTGCCTTTACAATGTAGAGGTGCACTGATCATACGTGGTAATATACATTCATGTATTTAGTTTCTCGATCTCTTTTTAGGCTCTGGGAATTCCCACTAACCTTTGACAGACAAGCAGATTGAGGTTTTCATCGTCCTAAAAGTGATCGCCCAATAAAAACTCGATCTCATTTGTCTAGCGTCCGTAGAGCAAATGCTAATTTGGCAAAAACTAGAAACGGGTTGACATGATCATTATTCGAATGATCAAAACAACGGTCAACGTCCCAATATAATTCTTGATCAAGGCTTCAAGCATAGAACAATTGAAACAATGTGTAGGCCTAGGCCTACAATTTAAAAGCATTTATTAAAACAAGCTAAACATAAACTCGATCTAGCTCGTATAAATTTCCAAACATTTTCACAAATTACAAATTACAAATTTCTATTCACAAATTATGGTTATTCAGAATCAATGGTTTAGTCTATTTTTATAGCGAAAGACTGCTGCTTGTTACATGGCAATGTACACTTTCAGCAAATAATAATATTATAAGTAAAGTGGTTAGTCTATTTCTATAGCGAAAGACTGCCGCTCATATTTAAATTAGACTAGGTCTAGCCTACATAGTAATTACACAAACTGTCCTTCCAGCGAAGGAGCGAGAGTCGTCGTAAGTCATCATTAGTCAGAGTCAGGATCAACTTAAAAGTCAGGATCAGGCCAGGCAAGGGTCGGCGATGTCGATCGGATGCGGAGTCCACAATCGGTGATGGTGAGACTCGGAATATGTAAGGTTCGAGTTCGACATTTACGGTGCTCGAGGTGATAGACGGAACGCAATTCGATAATATCAATATCCGATTCAATATTGGAGTTCGCACTAACTTCAAAATTCAAAGTGGTAATTATGGTGGCGTTGACGAGTGGTGAGGATCCCAACAAACAAAGGATCGAATGTCGAAATCCAATTTGACTTGAGATCGTAAAAACTGTAGGCCTACTCCAAAATGGCGGATATCAGAAGCAGCACTAAACTAGGCTTCCAGCCAAAAACAGCTAAATCAGTATAAACCAGGCAGTGAATCGAGTCGAACTGTAAGTCTGTAGATCAAGTTTAATTAATGCCAAATCGAGGCAAAACTACGAAGTAGGAAAATGTCATTGAAAACTGAACTTGAGAGTGGGGAGGTGCAAATCCGAGAGGAGGACTAAATTATAGGACCCCGTTGGAAATAAGCCTTTTCCGGCTTTCATGGGTTATCCTGTCAATGTATCTTCTCGTTTCATTTTGCTTTATGTAAGCATTCAATGTACTATACTTGACGAATAAAATCAATCAATCAATCAATCAAATCAATCAATCAATCAAAAGACTAGGTAGGTCCCCCCGAGGCACCGGGTTCTCGTCTCCTCTGATTCAAAAATTGCGGGACAAATTAGCTCTCGTATAACCGGCGGATCAAATGAATGACAATAGTGGTGAGATTGTGCTAATAATTAAATACAATTATCAAGTTAAGCTCGAAGACAAAATCTTATAAAATAAAACCTACATTATGCAATCGATCTAAGTATATTACTTACATACTAAAAAGATCGCAAAATTCTCAATTATTTACATTGTCAAAACCAGGCCTGGTCAAAACTAACTTAACTAAGATGATTCTGCACATAAATTACATAGGTGAACGGCGCAACCAAATTCCACCCGGTACCCGAAAGCTAAGCAGGGAGAATAGTTCTAGCGCCCTCTAATGGTTAAACTTTTCCAAACTACTATAGTGGCCTCTACTCAAAACGCTACATTTATATGCCCGTGTCAAACTTATATTCTATTTTTTTGCTCCCACCGTCCCCCCTTCCCCCCCCCCCCCCCATTAAAACACATTTTCAAGTTAGCGTCAAATTACGGTCCTCCTTCTAGATTACAGTTGTATTGTTGGCAGGCACGTAGTCACGGGGGGGGGGGGGGGGCACGTGCCTAGCTGCTAAACACTCTAAACCATTATCATAGTTTCAGATACCTGAACATCATTTAAACCTACATGTAGCATAGTATGTGGGTTATAACAATGGATAGCATTATAGCATTGTACCAAAAATAATTTTTCAGAATCCTTGGCTGGACTGAGTATTTTTTATTTTTATTTTATTTATTTCACTTCTTTATTCAGGGTAGTCTGTTCAGTATACAAAAATAAAAACCTGGTCTTCCACAGAGCCCTGATTATAAAAACAGCACATTAAAAAATTACATAAATTACAATTAGAACTGTACAATATCGGATTATTAAACATTTAACACAATATATGCATGGTTTAGATAATAATAAAAATCAACTACAAAATAAATTAAACAAAAACATGGCCATACATTAACTGAATATAAGATTACACAAAAGAAAACAATTCATTAATGATAATTATAGGCATTATATGGTAATGGAGTCAAGTAACGTGACAAAACTGAATCATAATAGATAATGATAAAATCAACTATGAAAATAAGTTAAACAAAAACATGGGAATACATTAACTGAATATAATATTACACAAAAGAACAACAATTCATTAATGATAATTATAAGCATTGTATGATAATGGAGTCAAATAACATGGCAAAAACTGAATAGATAATGATAAAATCAACTATGAAAAATAAATTAAACATTATATGATAATGGAGTAAAGTAACATTTCAAAAACTGAATAGATAATGATAAAATCAACTATGAAAATAAATTAAACCAAAACATAGGAATACATTAACTGAATATGATTTTGCACAATAGAACAACAGTTTAGAATTAATGATAATTATAAGCATTGTAAAATGGAGTCAAGTAAAAAATGAAAATGAAGTCAAGATAAAAATCAACTATGCAGAAGAACACCTTATCATGTGAGATTTTCTTTTAGAGCTCTCTTAAAGACTGCTAGGCTCTGTGCTTCTTTAAGTTCAAGTGGAAGATCATTCCAAATTTCACTCCCTGAATAAATGAATGACTTCCTGTAAAATTCTGTTTTACATTTTGGCAATCGCAACATTTTCTTATCTGTGTTGCGAGTTATTCGTTTTGAAACATCGTCGACGAGTATAAATCTGTCATAAACGATTCCGGGTGTTATTTTATTTACACATTTATACATTAAACAGCACATTGTTTTCCAGAACAATTTATCAAGAGTTGGCCAGCATAGTGACTGTAATACATCAAGGGACGGTATATCCCATGACTTATTTGATACTATGTAGGCAGCTCTTTTGTGTAATTTGTTTAAGGTATTGAAATTCCCGACACTTCTGCGCGACCATACATTACAACAGTAAAGAACATGGGGTATAATGTACCCCCAATATATATCAGATAATTGTTTAGTAGAAAAATATGTTTTTAATCTTCTTATTACACCTAGTTTTTGTTTCACCTTTAAAGACACCTTTTCAGTATGTAACTTAAAGTCAAGGCTAGAGTCTATGGTTACACCTAAACACCTAGATTCATCAACACATTCAACAGATTTACCCTTTAATGTAACATGCAACTTTAGATTTGAAAATCGATGTAATTTTTGCCTTGAGCCTAATAGCATGACTTTGGTCTTCTCTGGATTGGGGATCAACTTGTTTCTGTCAACCCATTCATTTACTTCTTGCATTACATTGTTAAGCTTGATTTCTATATCTGTTGGATTGTTTCCATAGACGGATATTGTCGTGTCATCTGCGTACATATAAACATTCCCTTTACTTATATGCGTGGGAAGATCGTTTATCATGACTGTAAACAGGAGGGGCCCAAGGATTGAACCCTGAGCCACTCCTGTGTTGACATTCATGATGTTTGACTTTTTATTTTGCATTGAAACATATTGTTTTCTGTCATTAAGATAGGACCTAAACCAAGTGAGACATTTATCAGAACAACCGTATTTAGCTAATTTACTTATGAGAATACGGTGATCTACCATGTCGAACGCTTTGCGTAAGTCTATGAGTGCTAATCCATTCACGTACCCTTTATCAACATTCATTGCTAATTCATCGACCATACAGATTAGGGCGGTCTCACATGAATGATTAGGTCGAAAACCGAACTGTTTGGGGTTAAAGGTAATACAAAGTTTTGGGAAATTTTGAAAACTGGGTGGAGAATGATTCTTTACAATTTTGATATATTCGGATGCCCCTGTGGATGTATTATAAGCACTATAAAATTTAGCCCCTAAAACACTTCCGCTTTCGAGAAAAACTGAACATAAAAATTTACCGGTGCTCCCGGTAAATTTTGATAAATTTTTAAATAACGCCTACGGCCGTTTGATGGTAGCAGCGACCATGAAAATCTCAGACTATGTAGTTGTGATATATAATTTCCAACTGGGAATAGCTTATCGGTCGATTTTAGTCAAGAAACATTTTTTTTATAGCTTAATTGATATATTGACCTTGAGAGGGGGCTATACAACATAAAGAGTTATTATTCTCAATTTCATAACTTTAGACTCGATTTCAACCGCGACGACGATCACTGAATATTGTCGGATCGTATATGTTTCCAATATGTTCATTTGAACCAAATTTATGACCCCATACCAAAACTTTGTATTACCTTTAAGTAGTCGTTTTTCTGATAGATATTCAAGGAGATTCTTATTCACTGCCTTTTCTATTATTTTGGATAAGACAGGGAGAATGGCTATCGGCCTATAATTACATACTTGAAATTTATCTCCACTCTTAAAGATGGGTTGTATTCTTGCTATTTTCCATGCAGCAGGAACTACACCCGTTGTCAGTGACAGATTGTATAAATACGTCAGAGTATCTATGACAATGTTAATGTTACAAACATGTTTCAAAATCTTGACACTTTAATAGTCCATCATTCCCTATAGCCTTGGTTATCGGGAAACCCTTAATTTCTTTCTTTACAAACTCGCTATCAATGACTGGCAGATCAAACAGTCCTGTGGGTTCCGACCGATTATCTTCGGCTGTACTGCATTTTGTGGTTATCAGTTCATCACCTGATGCTCCGAAATTGTCTGTTAAACTTTT